CAGGTTTCTGGGGTTTTGTTTAGCTTCTATATTTGCAACATAGTTGCTTAGAGTTGCAGCTGAGAGGCCGGCAAGTCAGGCGGGGAACGTTGGAGTCCGCCATCACTGGAGCAAGCAAGCCTCCCTGTTCGCTTCAAGCTGCCTGGCTGCCGGCCGCCATCTTGACTGGCAGTTAATTTGCATATCTCCCTGATTAGCCAATGGGAAGGGTAGCGGCCGTACGGCTAATTACCATGTTTCTCTTTAATTAGATAGGATTTTATTTATTTTGTGGAGAAACAGAAATGCCATTAGATTACTTATGGATTTATATTGTTATACCACTTAAAGATTTTTTCACTTTTAAAAATAGTAAATTTTCCCTCTCCTTGTTAGCAGCTTTCCATATTACAAATAGCACTGCAATGAACATCTTAGTATATATCTTTCTATACACATACAAGCTTTTCTACAGCATAAGTTCCTAGAAATTCACATTGTTGAGTCAAAAATATGTATATATTCCCTCTTATCCTTTTGATATCTTTATCAATGGTTAATAAGCCCAAAGCAGTTTCAGTTATTGCACGGTCAGAATTTAATTACATGTGTAGTTAAAACCCTATGAGACTGTCTTCACACCATGGAGAGCTTCTCTCCCAGCACCCTGCTGTGGCTTCCTACTCATGTAGGAGCCTCCAAGAGTCTTGGACTAGGGGAGATTTGCCTCTTTGATCTTGGGAGCTGGGCAGGGACCCAAGCACTCATTTCGTTGATGGCTGGGCTTTGACTTATGACTGGCAGAAGCCTAACGCTCTAACCCGACCTGGCACCAGTTTATTTTTCCATGGGAGACTTTTTCTTCTAGCAGTAGTCACCCTAGTGGCTTTTACTTGACTGGCCCATGTCTGCTTTAGTTTGGCCCTGGAGATGGAGAGTGCATCTGGAAAAGGAGCAGTGAAAGAGAGAGCAGGAATGCCCGCTTTTTATTTTTTACTTTTTTTTTCTTTATTAAGGTATTACCTATGTGTCCTTATCCCCCATTGCTCCCCTACTCATGCCCTCGGCCCCTGGTGTCTGTGTCCATTGGTTAGGCTTATATGCATGCATACAAGCCCTTTGGTTAAGTTGCTCTGAGTCAGTGAGTGAGTGCTGAGATAATGTGAAGGCCTAGGACATTATTGTACACTACTACAGACTTTATGAACACTGTACACCCAGGCTAAAATAGTTTCCTTTCTTCAATAATAAATTAATCTCAGTTTACTGCCACTTTTTAACTTTATGAACTTTAAAACATTTAAAAAACTTTTTGACTCTTTTGTAAAAACATTTAGCTTAAAACACAAACACATTGTACAGCTATACAAAAATATTTTCTTCCCTTATATTCTCAGTAGAGGCCCGGTGCATGAAATTTGTGCAGGGGGGGGGTGTCCCTCAGCCCAGCCTTCCCCCTCTCACAGTCTGGGAGCCCTCAGGGGATGTTCTACTGATGGCTTAGGCCTGCTTCCCCCCTCTGCGGGATGCAAACAGGCTGATCAGGGGAAGGTGCCAGACCCATCACCCTGCTGCTGCTGCCACTGCTGGCCGCCGCAGCCGCCAAAGTATTTTCATCAACACAGACTCCAGTCCCTTCACCACGAAAAAATGACAACTTTCTTTAGGCATTTTCAAGATGTCTCTTTCATAGGATATGACCTTTTTTTTTTTATCCTCACATGAGGATATTTCCCCATTGATTTTTAGAGAGTGTGGAAGAGAGAGGGAAAGACAGAGAGAAACATCAATGTGAGAGGCACACTTCAATTGGTTGCCTCCTGCATGAGCCCTGACCTGGGCCTCGGCCAGGGAGGAGCCTGCAACCTAGGTACATGCCCTTGATTAGAATTGAACCCAGTCCCCCTGTGGGTTTGTGTCTCCACTCCAGCCCCAGCAGCCCAGTGCCGCGGCTGCAGGGCTGGGGCTGGGGGCCGGCCCCCTGCGTGTTGTTCTCTCAGGCTCTGGGCCCATGCCTGGCACCTCCTCCTGAGTTGGTTGTGACCATTACAGCATCCCAGCCTAATATGCTTATATGCTATAAGCTTTTATCTATATAAAAAACATTTTAATTCTTTTTACTTTTTAAATTTTTGTGTTGAAAACTAAGACACAAACACACATTAACCCAAGTTCTCCTGCCCCTTCCCTTATTGTCTTTCAGTTATCAAATTCATAAAAATTTCCATGGGTCTTCTCCTGGTTCTCAACCCGAGATACATATTGAATTATGTGGAGACCTTTAAGAAAATGCCTATGATATATAGCAATAATAAAGGACAAACAAAAACCCAATACTGCAAGAACATCTTTTTCACCTACACCCTTTCATTTATTAAGATATGGTAAAAATCACCTTGGCCACTGTTGCTCAGTGGTTAGAGTATTGGCCCATGCCCCGAAGGGTCATGGGTTTGATCCCCTGTCAAGGGCACATACTTGGGTTGCAGGTTTGATCCTTGATCTGGTCGGGGTTGATGTGTCTCTCTGACATCAATGTTTCTCTCTCTCTACCCCGCCTTCCATTCTAAAAAAAATCAATGGAAAAAATATCCTCGGGTGAGGATTAACAACAACAAAAAATATTGTAGAAATAATCAACTCAACTGTGGGCTAATAAGTAAAGAAAACTTAAGAGTTAATAGTCCCTGAGAGCCTTAGGCCCTCTCCTTTAAACAAAGTACTAAATTTTGTCACTTATTTTGGCTGGAGGATTTTGTTTTCTCCTTCCTCCATCCCTCCTACCTACTCATTCTTTGTTTTAGACCTCACTTCTGACTTCATAGGGCTAACACTATGGGAACATTACTTCTGTCCTATCAAATGAAGAAGTTTGTAGTTCAGACATGTGGGCTCTCTGCAATGGACAGTCTGGGTTGCTTTTCCAACACCTCCTCCCTCTCCTTTTGGCAAGTTTCCTGACTTTCAGATGCATACCCTTTGCCTGAATCAAACATGTTCCCAATGCTTCCAGGAAGCAGACCAGCCCCACCTGTAAGGCTGGATCAGGCCTAAACGAATCCACAGACCCTTGTGAAGTTACTGGTTCTTAAGCACAAACGTAGCACAATACAGGTGAATGTGGCCTAAGGAGAGGAGCTTCTTTTCTCTTCTGAGTGCACTTCTACTGTAGAAATGGTCCCAGCACTTAACAGCTCTGGGAAGCATAACCATCTGTGACCACATGGGGAAGCCTCCTGCAGAATGAAGCTGATGACAGAGCAAGTAAACACGAGAGATGTAAAGAATCAGGGTCTTTCACAACAAGTCTGAGTCACTGAATTAAACCAACTGAAACCTACTGAGCTTCTGGTAGTGATATGTGTGAGCCAGTAAATTCTCTTTAGTGTTTAAATGAAACAAGAAAGCAGTTTGAGTAGGGTTTTCTGTTATTTGCAACTTAGATGAATCCTGAAAAACCCACTGCACATATTACGAGGAAATGCCTTTTTAAAATTGAATTGCATTTGAAAAAGCTAATAGAGTGCTAAAAACAACATATTTGAATTTTAAATACTTTTTGCTGCTGCACTTAGTAGCTAAGTACTTACCATACTAAGAACTGCTATTTGGCTTCAGGTTGTTTTTGTAAGAAATGTGGCCAGCTGTGTAAGTCAGTTTATTCTGTAATTATTAGGGGAGGCTCCGGTATGCTATCATCGCTATTCCAGCGATAGAAGGCAATTAGTGTGGTGTTAATACTAGGTGAAGTAGAAAGACAATATTCAGCAAATAAAACATACTGTAAAACAAAGTATGTAATAGCGCACTGATTTTTATTGATGGCAGAAGAAAAAATTCTTTCACTTGCATTTCTCCCCCTCAAATCTGCTTTTTCATTCTTGAAATAATAATATCCACCATGGCTGCATCTTATTCTGAAGGGAAATTAGAAGGTCTATCAAGAGGTTTTGACCAGGATGTTCCTGTCAATTGCTCCTTTCTTCACAAAGACTCTATTTAAAAAAAGAGAGGAAGAAAGTGAAATTGGACCCACAAATTGACTTTTCCATACTCAGGATACAATTCTGCTGAAACTTACCTGTAAATGTGAAGTGCTTGTAGAAATATCAATAGATTGCAAGTTATTAGTTATTTATAAACATAATTTATATGAAGTAATATGCAAGCCCCAAAGCAAAATCTTTTAAAATAATTTTTTCTTTTAAACTATTAAAGTACATCTCTGTCACCATTAGCCCCTTTATTGCTAGCAAATTGATTTCAGGAATTTCCATTAACCGAATAGTTTTTAATAGGAAATGACTTAAAAAGAAGCAGCATGCCAATGAACCAGTTCTACCTCCATCCTACCCCTCTGAATACCTCCAAACTAGTTTAGTCCACACAGGGCATTTATTTGCGTCTGTCACCTCCCCTGCCTGCTCCACACCTTTATCAGGTACCACTCTAGTTCAAACACTTTGGGTGGTGACAACAGAAAGCTGAGAGAAGTGAAGAGATGAGCCGTGATTGTTCTGGGCCTATATGAGCTTCATGCATAAAAGCATGCTTGGGCAGAATTCCCATGGCTGCATACTAATAGCTCATAAGTCTCCTGAGTAAACAGTCTTCTGCTTAGAAAATAAAGAGCTCTATACTATTATCCTCACATGATGCCCACCCTACTGGCATCACAGGGTTCTGTAATAGCTATCCTTAGAGTGATCACTTTCCTGGCCTTGATTTGAAAATTCTGCTGGACCAGATTGTGAAAACAATTTTTCACTTTTAAAAACAGATCTTTTACCAGCTAAAAATGGCGTTAATACCTTAGAAAATAAACAAAGTCATGCTATTTATGTAGCAGTCTATGTTTAGCTACAGGTTTCAAAGCTTGTGGTTAATATGTGAAAATGCAAAGATGATTCTTTCATCAAACAAATAAGAAATGAAGTTCAAAGTGAGTCAACAATTATAAAACTGCTTCACATGCTGAACTTGAACCTCCATTGCACCTGGGGCCTCATGCTGAGGTGTCTTTCAAACCTTCCCACACAGGCCAGCCATTTCCCCCTTCACAGCAAGACAGAAACCCTAACCTTCTCCTCCACTAGACCACTGCATTTAGCTGCTTAGATGCTTTCCCTCCAGGTGCTGTAATCCATCCTACATCCAACAGCCATATTTCTTAAGTGTAATTTCGATCATATCACTCTTATTTGGAAGTTCATGATAGTGCTGAACACTTCAAACTCTTAAGATGTCTAAAGCCATAGTCTTCAGCCACCACCAATATATATATATATATATATATATATATATATACATACTACAGGCCCAGTGCACAAAAATTTTTGCACTTAGGGGGGGTCGCTCAGCCCGGCCTATGCCCTCTTGCAGTCTGGGACCCCTCGGAGGATGTCCACCTGCTGGTTTAGGCCCGCTCCCTGGGGGATCGG